AGAAACAGAGTCCCACTGTTATGGGGACATGCTGGAGGTAATTAGTCCGTCCTTGGGGCTCTGTGAGGGGGCAGAGAGAGGTGATTTCCCCCTGGTCTCTGCTGGAGGTGCAGAGTCCCACTGTTAGGGGCCCATGCTGGAGGTAATTAGTCCGTCCTTCGGGGCTCTGTGAGCGGGCAATGAGAGGTGATTTTCCCGGTCTCCGCCCTGGAGGTGTGAAATAAACAGAGTCCCACTGTTAGGGACTGGTGCTGGAGGTCTCTAGTCTGTCCTTCGGGGCTCTGTGCGCGGGCAGAGAGAGGTGATTTCCCCCTGGTCTCTCCTGGAGGTGTGAAATAAACAGAGTGCTACATTTTGTAAATAGTGCAATATCTCCAGGGCGCATAACTGCACTTTACAAGCCAGAAAATAATGTTTAAATGGTCGGGGAAAGTATTTTTAAATGTCTGGAAGAGAGTTTTAGACAGTCATTTTGCACGAAATCATTTAACATAGACGCTCTCCTGAAAATGCACAGAATATGTGCTTTTTCAGGAGACCGTCAATGTTAAATGATTTCGTGCAAAATGACTGGCTAAAACCCCGGAATAAGTGTTTGAAAGGCGGGGAAAAGTTGTTTAAAATAGTCTGATACCTCCAGGGCGCATCACCAAAAATGTACAAGCCAGGGAAGATGCCTGAATCCCGGATACTTTAGGTCTGTCACTTAGGGTGACCGCACCACTCCGACGCTCCCGAGAGCGGACGTCCATTGTTTGTAAGGCACCTAAGAGGGATAAGATAACTTTAACAAGATGCCTGTGTGCTTAGTACCAGGTTGTTATTATACCAGCAATGGGTCTTGCTCGTTCTTTTGCTTCCCGTCTGATGAAAGGACCAGGAGTGGCTTGATCAAGTTAGCTACCTAGCTAGTAGCTAGCACGTTAGTTAGCATTACAGCCTTGTCATTTTTATTAGCCTTAACATGAAGTAACATTAAGTAACCCAACATGTTAAACAGTAAGAGTAGTAGTCATATTTCGTGAACCCTTTGAATAGTACTGTCACCGGTGTGATCATTCTATAATACACCATTTAAGCCCGAGGGAGAAATGCTAACGCTAACGTTAGCATCGGCGATCTTCTCTACTTCATGCTATCTGCACAAATGGTTGACATTAAACATTAAAACGACCAGGCAGTTCAGAGAGAATCAAAGGAAGGCAGGCAGGCAGCTTTGTATGACATTCTTCAGGACGTGTTTCATTGTGGTGATAGTGAGGGAAGTCAATCGTTTTGTTGACAAGACAGTAGTGACGGCCATCTTGGTGACGTGTGTTGTTGTTGACCAGAGATGTAGTTCATTGAGCGGTTCACACAAACAAATGTGTTACTTCACAGTTTTACGACACATTTTTTTTTTTTTGACTTGCAAAATTATCTTTTAAATTGACAAACATCATATGTGTAATTCGTGGCACAATTCAAACGGGATCGAAAGATAATCTTTCTCTCTCCATTGACTTCAATGCATAACTTTTCCGAAATAAGGTCCCATGGGGCTCAACCGGAAGGGGAGGGACTTCGCCACTCTATAAGAATATGGGCTCAGTTTAGGAGGCACTTTGGACTACAGGGTGCTTCTGTTCTCTCCCCATTAAGTCAAACCACCTGTTTACCCCATCCTGTACAGACCCGGATTTTACTGTTTGGTTTAATAATGGGATTAAATCAATTTATAATCTTTACATTGAAGACACATTTGCATCTTTCTCTCAATTATCTGAACTGTATAGCCTACCTAAGAATCACTTATTTCGTTACCTACAAATTAGGAGCTTTGTATGTAAGACATTCAGCTCTTTTCCAAATAAGCCCATAAAGTCACAAATTGACCATATCCTCGAACTGAAGTCAGACCGTAGAGGACTGATTTCTATGATTTATGATCTCATTGGTAATGTCAATCCGCACCCTATTGAACATTTAAGAGCTGCTTGGGAATCTGATCTGGGAAGAACTTTGACGGATGAACAGTGGGAATCAGTCCTGGACCGGGTGCACACATCTTCCTCTTCTGCTAAACACAGCCTGATACAACTGAAAGTGGTACACAGAGCTCATTTAACTAACGCTAGATTGGCTAAAATGTATCCAGAGGTTGAACCGTCTTGTCCCCGATGCAGAAGCCAGCCAGCAGACCTAATACACATGTTTTGGGTATGTCCCAGCCTCTTTACTTTCTGGAGATGTATTTTAAAATCTTTTAGTGAAATGTTTAAAACTCGTATTGAGCCTGACCCGCTCTGTGCCCTTTTTGGTTTGGCACCAAAGGTGACCTGTGCATCCCTACCAAACAGTGCTCAGGTAGTTATAGCCTTTTCTACACTTCTTGCGAGACGTTTGATTCTTCTAAAATGGAAGCAACATTCCCCTCCATCCTTTTCTCAGTGGGTCAAAGATGTTATGTACTTCTTACAGCTAGAGAAAATTAAGTTCTTACTCAGGGGCTCCTCTAACACCTTTATTAGAACATGGAAACCCTTTCTGGACTTCTATGACTCCTTACAAGATCCACTTGATAAAGAATAAGGTTGGATTGAGCGGTGAGCAGTGAGCAGTTGATTCATCTTTTTTTATTTTATTTTTTTCATTTCTATTCCATTATCATTATTATTATTTTCTTTCTTTGTGTTTATCTGTTTTCTTTTTCTTTTCTTTTTTTTTCTCCTCTTTGCCCCCCTTGAACTAATGTCATTATGAAAATACTGTATTTTACTGTTAAAGGGCTCTGTATCCTGTAACTCAATAGGTTAATGGGTGGTGGGTGGGTGGGAGAGTGGTGGGATTGAAATGAAGATTTTGATGTCAGCATGTGTGTATATATCTTTACTGAATCTGTATCACTTGCTTTTGTTAAAAAACGGAGAAAATCAATAAAAATATTTACCATAAAGTGGAGACTCCCGACAGTTTTTTTTTGTGGCGAAGAAGGATAAGACCCTGAGACCCTGCATTGACTATCGGGGCCTGAACGACGTCACGGTGAAGAATCGATATCCCCTGCCACTCATCTCGTCAGCGTTCGAGTTACTACAAGGGGCTACAATCTTCACCAAGCTGGATCTACGAAACGCTTATCACCTGGTACGAATCCGTGAGGGGGATGAATGGAAGACCGCCTTCAACACCTCTTCGGGACATTACGAGTACCTGGTGATGCCATTGGACTTACCAACGCCCCTGCAGTTTTCCAAGCGTTGGTGAACGATGTACTCCGGGACATGTTGGATCGTTATGTTTTTGTTTATCTGGACGACATTCTGATTTTTTCAAAGACCCACAAGGAACACATGCACCACGTCAAGACAGTCCTCCAGAGACTTCTGGAGAACTCGCTTTTCATCAAGACGGAGAAGTGCGAGTTTCACACTTCTTCGGTCGCCTTTCTTGGCTACATCGTGGGTCAAGGAAGTGTGCATACGGTTTTCAACCCCCTTTGTTCTCTGCATTGGAGAAGGAGGTTACCTGTCCGTCTGTCCAGGCTTTCATCAGACGTTGTCGGAGGACTTGGAGGCAGGCTCGAACAACTCTGCTTCGGTCTGCTAACCGGTACGCCACATCAGCGAACCGCCGACGCACCAAGGCACCTGTGTACCAGGTAGGCCAGAGGGTGTGGCTTTCCACTCAGAACATTCCCCTTCGGGTGGAGTCTAAAAAGTTAGCGCCCAGGTTTATTGGACCCTTCGAGATTGTCAAGGTCATTAACCCTGCAGCAGTTCGACTGAGTTTGCCCCGGAACATGAAGATCCATCCCACCTTCCACGTTTCTAGGATTAAACCTGTCCGGGAGAGTCCTATGATTCCCGCCGCTCCTCCACCACCACCCCCTAGGATGATCGATGGGGGTCCTACCTACACCCTTCGTCGTATACTTCGTTCCCGACGCAGAGGAAGAGGGGTTCAATATTTGGTGGACTGGGAGGGCTATGGTCCTGAGGAAAGGCAGTGGATTCCTGCTCGTCACATCCTCAACCCTCAACTCATCCGAGACTTCCACCTGCGTTACCCGGAGCAGCCTTCTAGGACCCACGCTCAACCAGGCGTTAAGTCGGGGGGTACTCGTCGGCTACGGACCGGGGGCTTCGTCGAGGAGGAGGGGGAGGCGTCTTCAGTCGAGGAGGACGAGGATTTCCAGGAGGGGGAGGCCGAGAGAGCATTCTCAGATGAGTATTAACTTTTCCCATACCCCCACCTTCCACCCTGTGTCTGTAGGTTTTTTGTTGATTTTTTATTTTTTTCTCGTAGTTTTGTCTTGGACGTCGGGAGCCGTCCATTAAGGGGGGGGTTCTGTCACAGTTCTGCTTTCTCACTCACCTATTTTCTGCATTAACATTCCTTAGTCACCTGGTAGCCACACCCTGTCTCTCTCTCTCACTCTGTTACACCCATCAGCTCCATTAGTATATAGGCCCACTTCACCTTCACCTCAGTGCCAGATCGTACTTTGCAGCATGCCAGTCTTTCCCGCATTACCCTCCAGATTGCTCTCCCGGTTTCGACCCTGCCTGTCCCTGACCAGCCTGCCTCGCCTGTTTCCTGACCCTGCCTGTACCCGGACTATTCTGCCTCGCCTGCTCCCTGACCCGGTCTGTACCTGCGACTCCCGTCTTGCCTTCTCCTGGAACCCTCGCCTGTCCCCGACCAGCCCTTTGCCTACTATCTGCCTTTTCGTCTCATACCAGTTTATTGCCTTTAATAAAGATGGTTACCGACTATCCCTGGTTTCCCGTGTGTTGCATTTTGGTCCTCAGCTCGTTTGTGACACAAACAGGGAAAGGTTTTTGCAGTTTGATAATACAAAACAAATAAAACTCCAAATCGCATGCCTAGGTACCAAATGCCCCAAAATCTCAAATCTTACCCAGAAGTCAGTACCAATTGGTAAAATAAGAACAAGCCCTTATTTGTGTCATAACCCGGCTCCTATGCCTGACAAAAATGTGAAAGGATGCAATGGATGCTGGTAAATTCAAGTATTTTATGTAATAAAGTAAGCATGTACTTGAAAAAAAACTCAAGATAATACCAAAGGAAGGCCAATACGGGTAGCTGCTCTCAGGAGGGAGTCCAGGAGAAAAGAGAGAAGGAAAGTGGCCTTCGCTCAGAATCTGTGTTACCTTCAAGGACAAGGGGGAAAATGTACAGGTATCAAAACAGAGGACTAGACTTCAACTGTCACACACACTCCACAAGGTTTTGCCTCAGCTCAAGTTGAGCTCTTCGTAAAGATACGGGTCCAGCTCACGGAGAGCATTGATCAGAACCCTGCTGGCTGCAGCTCCTTTTTTTCGCACCACGTCCAGCACCTCAAGTGCTCCGTCATTTCGGGATTTGGTTCTGGCTGACTCCATTTCAGATTCACTGATAACTCCAGACTCAAGGAGTTTATCCAGAAGGTCCTTCAGGAGAGGTGGAGACACTCTTTCTTTGAACTCTGTCCGAACTGAGAACAGCCTCTGGTCTTCTCGGACTCTGCTCCATGCTAGGACATTCCTCTGGGACAATTCCTTCCTTGGAACTGGAAGATAAACAGGGAAAATACTTTTGTTAACCAACAATCACATTAAACAGATCTCTTAAAAATTCAAGTAACTCGACATTCCCAGAGGTGGATTTCTGTTCACTTAAAATTATAATATGTAACATTTCCTCATTAAAATGTATTTTGATTGTCTCAAATGGTTCAGAGAGATGTGTAATTTTAATCAAGGTAACAGTACGTTCATCACGGTCTCCTGTAATGGCGCCGTATCCACTTAACCATGAGAAGCTGAAGACTACAACTCCCAAGATGCCACGCTGTTTCACCACCACACTAGTTTTTACTATAGTTTAGGAATATTACAGGTTGTGTGTTTAATGTCGTAATGATGCGCTGCCATGGAGCCTTAATAGAGAAGGCTATGAGATGGAGCTTTAGAGTTATCCAGTCTATCACTGGGTCTGAGCTCAGATGGAGTCTTTACCTTCCAGTGACACGCGATAACTCCAGACTACATTTCCACCTTGGTCCTGGACCTTCAAAGCCACTCTCTCTGTGCTCGTCGTCAGGGTAACTTGAAATGTCGGGTGGTAGTTTGGTCCAAACCTGGAATCAAATGTTTTACTCTGAAAACCAGAAGCAGAAGTTAAAAGTTGATCTGGATCTTTCCTGATTGTGAATGCAGATACATGTGTGATAATGATCATTGTGTTTCATCAGAGTATCAGTGACTCACCTCAGGCTGTATGAAGAAGCCCTCAGGTTCACAGTGCACACTGTAACTGTGATCAATGTCCAGCTCACAGTCGGAGGAGATTGGGATGTTCACAGCACGTCTGTGTTTTTGAACAACCTTTAGTAACAGGACATTTTGATCAATTTAAATGTTGATAGACCTACAGAGATATAATAATTACAATCAATTCAGAATAACATCATGAGGACATATGTGAGTACATTAATTAAAGTGTATAGGTTAGATATGTTTGGATGAAATTCCAATTCTCCAACACATTTTTTTATATATTTATTAGGGCTGTTTACGGAGCCCCTAAATGGTCATGAAAGAAAATAAAAGTATCTTGTGCGCTCGAGAAAGTTACCGGTTCGCCAAGTAGGAGAGATGTGCCTTTTACACACCGCCTTCACTGTGTTTACCTTCATTAGAACAGCTGAAGAGGGATCGAGGCTGCTCTGTTTTAACCACACACACCTCTACACACACACACACACACACACACATCGAACTGCCCGATTATTACACCATATTATTAGTTTTATGAAGATGTCTGGTCGCCAGGGCGTGTGTGTGTGTGTGTGTGTGTGTGTGTGTGTGTGTGTGTGTGTGTGTGTGTGTGTGTGTGTGTGTGTGTGTGTGTGTGTGTGTGTGTGTGTGTGTGTGTGTGTGTGTGTGTGTGTGTGTGTGTGTGTGTGTGTGTGTGTGTGTGTGTCAATGGCATTTGTTTTCAGAAGATATTATGATAGTGCACTCCGACAGGACTAAGCATCGAGATTAAGATTAAACAAACTTCTTTCCCTTGGGAACACACACATATACCTCCAGTATGGAGTTGGCCAGATCTGTGTAAATTACTGTTCATGGTAATTTGAAAACAAATGCCGGACACACACAAGCACACCGAACACACAAACACAGAGCGGAGCTGAGCAGAGCACAAACACACACACATCATGCGCCCTGGTGACCGGACATCTCCTTCATAAAACCAGTAATAGGGGGATTAATCGGGCAGTTCGATGTGTGTGTGGAGGTGTGTGTGTGTGTGTGGTTAAAACCTAGCAGCCTCATTTCTCTTCAGCTGTTCTAATGAAGTGAAGGCGGTGCATAAAAGGCACATCTCTTCATTCATAGATCAAGGCAGACTGGTCCACAGACTCTCCTGTTTTGTGAATCCGGTGCTTAAACAAATAGCTCTACACCCCTGGCCGAAATGTCCTTAAAATGAAGTCCGAGTTCGAATTATATCTCAAATAATATATATATATAATATATGCAATGCCATTTCCCCACATAAAAATAACAGAAACGGTCGTCTCCTGTGTGCTCCACTTCCTACTTGGGGCACCGGTAACTTTCTCGTGCGCACGAGATACTTTTTTTTTTTTCCATGACTCTTTAGGGCAGGGGTGTCAAACTCCAGGCCCGGGGGCCAAATCCGGCCCGCGACTTCATTTCATGTGGCCCGCAAGAGCTCTGAAAGAATGTAATATGTTTATTATACGGTTACATGCCGATTTACAGAAGCACGATGTCCATAAACTACATGTCCCACAATGCATCTTAAATTTGACTTTTTTCTCAGAATTTGACTTTTTTTCTCAAAATATGCCTTTTTCTTAGAATTTGACTTTTTCTCAGAATTTAACTTTTTTTCTCAAACTATGCCTTTTTCTTAGAATTTGATTTTTTTTTTTAATTGTTACTTTTTTTTCAAAATGTCACTTCTTTTTTTATTTTGACTTTTTTTTCAGAATTTGGCTTTTCTTTTTAAATAATTTTGTGACATTCTCACTGAAGAGACTTGCACGTATTTGCCCTAGACTTACCCTATCCAATAATAATCCAATGCAGAGGCAATAAAGTAATATAATACATTATTTTATATATATTAAATATTTATATATGTATGTTTATATAGTCATGAAGTTACAACCGGCCCTTTGAGTGCAACCATAATGCTGATGTGGCCCGTGATGAAATTGAGTTTGACACCCCTGCTTTAGGGGCTCCGTTTTGGAAGACAAAAGGACATAGGAGACACCAACTCTTCTCTTTTCCTCTCATCTCTGTAACCCCCCTTTTAGTATTCTCTCAAATCCTTATCACCTTAGCGTTTTCCTCTCTTTACTTTTATTTTATTAGTTCTTAGTTAGTATTAAAGATTTCACTTAAATAGCATTTTTTTTTGTAACTAGTATATCCTCCAGCTACCTCCCCCAGGTCCACCGCTGTGTTCCCTCCTTTATCCAGCACAGCAGCTCATCGGTTCAGTAAGACAATGCGGTCCGTATGCTTGGTTATGGTCATTTTCAGTTATGGATTTAAAGGTCACCTATTATGCAAAATGGTATGTGGACCCCTAGGGGTACGTTGGAGTACTGCAGGGGGTACGTGAGATTTATTTTATGTTAAAGTGGACCTATCATGCTATATTATAATAATATAGTGTAGGACCATACCTATATAAGGCATATTTATACTTTTTTTTTTTCAAAATACCAAACAGATCATGCATTTTAGCCATGCCTCATTTTGCTCAATTTGACATTTTTTAGCTCTGGATTTGCAAGGGCAGATTCTGTGAGAACAGCACCACCTACAGGCCTGGCATATGTACTGCAGCATCTCCAGCGCTTTCGAACGGCAATGGCCGTGGCTGTCTCCTCCTGATTGGTGGAGTTGGCCCAATAGCCGTAGCGCCACCGTCCTGACGTCAGGACAGTGTTCAAATCTGGATCAGTTTTTAGCAGATCCGTTGCAGCCCCTTTTTTAGAGATTTGGGTATGGAGGAAAATAGAGAGGGTTGTGTTTTCTGACACTTGGTGAGTTCCCTGGAACACCGGGGACACATGTTCATGTAGAAAAGACGTACAAAAGTGCATTTTGCATGATAGGTCCCCTTTAATGAAAAAAACAATACAAGTAATACATTTAAACAAACTACTAATAGTAGATTAACGACTTTATTCAAAAGTTTACCCGTCTGGCGGTTATAGGTATAAATGCTCCTATTTTTTTTTCTCTTCATTCCCCACGCCCCAAAATAAATAAATATACCAGTTTTAGGAAAAGTAACGAAGTTTGAGCAGTGTGGGTTTTATATTAACAGAGTTACACATATTTAAAAACGCGAAGTGTAATAACTGCAGTTTGCCTCCCTGTCAGAATGACACAGATCCTCAGTGAAGCACAAGCCCATGTTTCTCACTAAATTGAAAGTACAACTTATTAAAAAGATCAGTTCAATGCAGCTAATGTCATCTTAGTGTTATTGCATGAATTTAGTGATGGATTGTAAACATTTGAAATGTAGCATTTGAGTGTTTCTCAGTTACAATGTTGTTGTTTTAATAAATCAGACACTGATGGTGCAGCGCTGTGCTGGACCTCTTTATATAGGCATTTTGTCCCTAACAAATAGTTTATGCGCTGATCAGGGGGTACTCGGCTGACATTGTTTTTCAAAGGGGGAACATTATTGAAAAAAGTTTGAGAACCACTGTCCTAGAGCACCATTAGCCGCGTTCACACCGGAGTACTTTCACCGTACTTTTCGCGTTTTAGTTCCGTGAGTACCCCTTATGTCGCGTTCACACCAAAAATCGTACTTAATCTCGGGTACTTTTACCCCCATTTTTAGAGCCAGCTCAGAGAGCGTACTTTTCTGTGGGTGAAAAGTGCTCCAAAAGTTCCCCAGTGCTGATTGGCTGGGCGAATTGCAAACCACGCCCGTACAACTCTGAAAATGTTGTGTGGAGATGCCATTGTTTTTCCTCGCTACAAAAACACAACGCTCCGTGCGTTGTGTTTGTTTTTGAAAGCAGTTATGGCAAGCATCAAGAAATGATGAGGAGGTGTCGGCGCTTCTGGAGATCTACGCCGAGAACGCGACCCAAGGAATGCTACTGAAGCCAGTTCGGTAGCTTTCACTCGACCTGGGAATTGTGCACAGCCGGCTAAATATAAAGAAACTCAGGACTACAAACGGCGGATTCAGTGGCCAACGATGACTACCACGATGAAGGTAAAATCAACTACATGCACTGGGGTTTTAATCTGCACAATAATGGTCTCAGATGTACTTTTATTTGCTCAGTAGATCAAGCTAGCCATGCTAGCCATAATAGGCTAACACCGGCCCCGGCTAGCTACATCTAGCTAGCTAGATATTCTCCGCTGTATGAAAACGTTTTGACTTGTGAATAACTGTGCAGTGTTTCTGTAATTTGCTTCACTAACTCATGGCACTAATCGTCTGTTTCAGGCGAGGATGGACAACTCTCGGGATTGGAAACAAGTGAGCTTTGCATTCTAGATCACAGCGCTTTGTCGTCCTCCTTACCAGCAACCAAACGCAAAGGTACACACACTGTAACTTTGTCTTGAAAGAACGTTACGCATCGAACTGATGTTCACAATCATGTTTATTTCATAATATTCATCATATTTTATGTTTAACTTGCCTCAACAACATTAAACAAAGTTCAAGCATACATGAAGCACTCTTCAAAAAGGAACAATCCTCCGTGTTTGAACCTCTTGAATCGCTGCATAGCCGATTTATTTGGACTGGATTATCCCAGAGAAGCCAAACATTCTTTATAACACAGTTTCAGATTTGTGAAACCTTAATTCTATTTGTGAAAATACAAAAAAGGGAGATTTCAGTGCTTTTTTTACATGTAGACCACATTAGACCAGGTCCTGATCTAAAACCACTATACCTACACTCATCAAATCTGGACTGGATTATCCCAGAGAGTCAAAAGATTCTTTATAACACAGTTTCAGATTTGTGAAACCTTAATTCTATTTGTGAAAATACAAAAAACACATTCCTAGTATGTTGTAAAACTACATGGCGACTAAGATCTTGTATATTGCTTATTTCCCCTCTTAGGAAAGCGGACACGGGATGCGAATTTCTTTGACACCGCCCAGGCGTTGGAGGACCGGCGTGCCGTGGTGAATGAGTCGCTGCGTGGAGATCAGATGGTGCTGTTCACCAAGGCCCAGGAAACGGAGGACAAGATGCTCACCTCGATGGAGCGCCAGGCAGAAGTGTTCAAGCAGCAGATGGAGCGCCAGCAGCACCAGGATGAAGTGTGGGCGCTGCGCCATGAGGAAGCGTCGGCGCAGCGGCAGGATGAGCGACAAACTGCATTTAATAACAGTTTATTTGGTATAGTTTTTGTAAATACTGACACACGACACACAACGTTGCACTAAGGTGTGCATGCTGCTGAGAATATCCCTACACCTGGGACAGTTTATTTTATATTGTTATTACTGTTATGACTTTATTTTATATATAATGTTTACTGACATGTACAACTGACACTTTATTTACATTTAAAATTGTTCTATTTAATGTTATGTCTTGAGAGTGCAATAAAGAAAAACCGACATGGCGATTAAGCTTATTTCTCCTGACACTTTATCTTTTGTGACCTGTGTAGCATCCTATACATCACATGTAAGTGATTATTCTGATACCATCATGTTTCATCGGTTATAAACTGGCAAAGCTTTATTTGTCATTTATTTATCATCAATGTTGCAACCTTGTGGGGGAATGGCAGCGGCACATACACAAATATGACAATTTATATAATTTTAAATATTATTTGACCTAAACTTTTAATTCCCCCCCATTTCACACAACACAACATGGAGTCCACTATGGGCCAAAACTAACATGTATGTTTGCATAGTGTTTATGGCAGACGGATGCAGTGGGTCTCAGGAAGATATATAATAAAGGTGGGTTTGCTGCTGAGACTCCCTACACCTGGGACAGTTTATTTTATATTGTTATTACTGTTATTATATAGTACAACTGACACTTTATTTTATATTGACAATGTTTACTGACATGTACAACTGACACTTTAGTTACATTTAAAATATTTCTATTTAATGTTATGTCTTGAGAGTGCAATAAAGAAAACCGACATGGCGATTAAACAGATCCTGTATCAGTTTTTCTTCTTCATCTCTTGTTTTGTAGCGGGTTGCAAACAACTTTAAGGTGCTTACCGCCACCTACTGTACTTGTAATCTTCCCTCAGGGAAAAGTACTCCGGTGTGAACGCGATCTGTACTAAGTACCCTGGGGTTAAAAGTGCCAGGGCTCTTAGTGCCGGAACTAAGTACAGGAAAGTACTTGGTGTGAACGCGGCTATTGAGTTCTTTGTAACCAAATCTCTCTCAGAGGGGCGTGGGGAGGGGCTCCTTATTTTCATCTAAAGTAACAGACAGAGAATCAGCACTTTGGAAACAGGGCTGAAACAGAGGGGATTATGGGTAATGCTGCAATGATCTGTTTGGTGTTTCAGCCAATCAGAGACAGGCTCTGGATATATCTGAGACCTGTAATATATTGATGAGAAACAGTATAATAGGGAACCTTTAAGGCTTTGATTAGTGTTGGACTCCCAAAATACTTCCTTTCAATCTTTCAGTTCTTGAGTGTTTCAACTGTGCCTTTCAGTATTTGCTAACCATCTGATTTACTGTCAATGTTAATTATGTAACCTGCCATTCATCATCACATTATTGATATAATACTTATGTTATTCTGTAGTTTATATATTCTTAGCAGTTCATGATTATTTCATTTATAAAGAACCATTTTATGTGTTTGTGTGTGAAGTAAATCAGCCTATGTTCACAGAGTAAACTCAGATTTTCAGATTAGGAGAGTAATCGTGTTCTCATATTATCTCTCTCAGTAGGGAGCTTGGGGCCTCAACCTCTCTGTGGAAACAGCTGTGGTTTAAAACAAGTGTTTAGCCTGATGGTGAGCACATTACCTCCTCCTCAAGGACGTTGTTCTGCAGCAGATGTACATCCAGTATTTGTTCCACTCTGCCCGGGGGTTGAAGGAACAGCAGAATTTGGCCCTTTATTCGCCACTTTAGAAGCCTTTTCATTGTATTGATGTTAAGGATCAGGCCAAAGGAAGAGAGGTGAAGCACCTTCACCACCACGTGAGTGGGTGTGACTTCCAGCGGCTCCAAGATGCTCAGGCCTTCATCAGTGATGTGGACGACAGACAACAGGCCGTCCAGGAGCAGCGCTGTGGAGCAAAGAGCTGGTCATCTGTTGCTTTGCTGCTGAAACAGCTTCATCATATTCAATGACACTTTAGTTCAGAGCTAATGTTCATCTGATGTCATTCACTTTGGAGCCTCACTGGGATGTACCAGTTTATATCCTCCACCTTTTATGTTAATGTTTAATTATTGTTCCGTCCCCCTGTGATCTTTCTGGAGGTGAGCATGCGTAATTATTTTCTAATTTAAAGACTGCTGAGATGTTTGTAATCTGCAGCCAGAACAGCTTGACTGAGTCCGGTCTCATGTCTGAGTGATTCTCAAGACGTGTGAAGAGTTCTCTAAAGCTTTCAGGGCGTAGAAAGTCTAACTTATAAATGTTGTTGTCTGTTGTTTTGTTTTGTACATGCTTCAGCCAGACTGACAATGTAGAGAGCAGAAAGAGCAACAGATGGATAACAAAGTAATAATTAATCAAACTGCTAGCTTAGAGTGAGTTAGCGTTGAGTTAGCACTGTTAGCAGCTAAACATGCTGTGGACTGACAGGTCACAGTTTACATGTCTTTAATATACAGTGAGGAGACTGCAGAGGCCCAAAGACACTCCAACTCAGTATTTAGAGCTGCATTGCATCGTCTGCTTCAATAATGATGTCATGAAACACATCGACTAAATGGATGTTTTAATGATTTCATTCTTCTTCTTTTGGGGACACGACTATTTTGAATGTAAAGAACAGATTTTGTGTCTGAATTATCTTATCTTTGTTAAACTAGTTTAATAAAGCTGCTTCATAACTTTTGAACGGTAGTGGATAACATAAGGTGCTAAACATTGTATAAGTGTATTTGTTAACACTTGATGTCTTTACCATCCTCTGTCTCACTGTGCGGCAGGTGGAGCTGGCAGACGGCAGCTTCATTAGAACTCTTCACGTCGAACAGCGGCCCTGCTGCCTGCTTGCCAGCTGATTGGAGGAGATTCTCATCCCAAGGGACCGTCCTGTACAGAAGCTCCGCCTCCTGAGCCATGACGAACACCAGGCCAGTCGAAGCACACTGGAACTCACCTGGACCAGGACACCTGAACCTGTAGACACACAAGAGACAAGTTACTACAACAAGCCTTCACTGGCCTGTGTTCTGACTGACAGGTGTTCATCCAGCTGGATCTGACCTGGAGGAGGGTTTGTTGAAAGATCTGAAACACCTGATGGTTACAGGAACATCACTGAAGATGTGTCCACATGCATCAGGATGTGTGTGTACACTTTCATTCAATTAACAAAATGTCTAGTCCAGCGAGGATCTAGACTGGTACAAGAAAACAATCCTACACACAGAGGCATTATTTTATTCATGTCTGCTGGAAAGAGATTGGATGCAAAACCTCAAGGTGAAAGACATGACATCAAACACAATGAAATTAATATATGTGTTTAAAATAATAGTTGGTCATGTTGTAGGGTTACCTGTATGAAGACTCAGGTGTGTGTTCGGGTGAGAAGGATTCAGGAGCCTGGAACAAACAAAGTTATTTATTATATTAGAAAACAAGTTAAGTTCTATCTTCAACTCTGTACAGCTGCTCCTCTCTCACCTTTGTGTCTGTCTTCACTTCCTGTTCCACATCGGAGTCACCTGATGGAGAGAAGAGGTGAGAAAAATAATAATAAAACAATAATAATAATTATTGTACTATAAATACCTTTTAAGATCAGATTTAATGTACAATATCTTGATGAATGGAGGACATGGTTTCAGTACTCACAGGTCTTCTGGATCGTGGATCTGATCGTCTCATGATATCTGATCCTGTAGGGATGAACACAATCCAACAGTTTGAGATCCAGTTTAAAATAAGTGTTTGTTCTTTGAGTCAGCTTCAGAGTCCTGATCTCATGCTTCACATCCCATCATATCCTCTCTGCAAACACTACGACTGACTGCCACAGCTCTCAGCTGCATTACAGAGTTAACTAGGCATTAGTCCAGGAACAAAACAACTTCATAGAAAAAACAAACAGACTCACTTTTTAACTGTAAAATGTGTTAACAAGTTGCTCCTGACTGAACAACACATTCTCACTCACAACTCGGCCTATGTTGACGTTGTGTCAGGGTCCCTGTCGTCACTTTCCAACGCAAGGGGGGGCCCTTTAGCGTCGAGTTTCAACTCAGGTGTTTAAAGGATCAGAGTGAATTATGCAGAGTAGGATGTGTCTGTTAACAAGTTGCTCCTGACTGAAATGTGGCTTTGCATTGTCAGCTTGCATTATATTATTCTTGGGAGAACGCAAGAAAAGAAACATGAGATGAACAAAAGGAGAAACTGCAGATAAATGGTAACATCACTGATGTGTTGTGCTAAGCTAGGCTACGCCTGGAAGGTGGAACTGGAGAGATTCCCCAGTGAGAGGAACACATCCACCTCCCTGTGTTCAATACAATCCTGCTGAACCAGCAGAGACTGAGTCGACCCCTTACTGACCTGAGAGTCTCCAGTCTGCAGTCTGGGCTCTCCGGAAGATCTCTCAGCAGCTCCACTCCTGAATCCTTCAGATCGTTGCCACTCAGGTCCAGATCTCTCAGATGGATGTTGGACTTCAGAGCTGAGGCCAGAGCAGAACAGCTGATCTCTGACAAACTGCAGCGCCTCAGTCTGAATAAAGAACACATGATGTAAGTTTAGAAAACAATGTTCCTGATTGAAATAATGAAAGGTTTAATAATCTGATTATAGCTGGAGAAGTAGAGAATGTAGACGTTTATAAAGTGGACACTCCCGACAGGTTAAAAACAGTAAGATCCAAAAAGTGAAAAGAGCTCTCATTAATATGAAAGACAACGTTCTTCACCTTCAATAAAAAGTGGTGACTTCACATCATAAACTCTGCTCCTTCTACACTAACTCGTGATGTGCAGCCAGACAAATCAAAACCCACAGAAACTGATTCAACTCAAGATCACAGAGTTTACAAAGAAGTCAGGATGAATTTAGAAGAAATGTGATCAAAATAAATAGAGAATATTTATTTTAGGAATAGTGGAGACATAGATCACAGCATCTTCAGTGTAAACTATTCAGTCAGTTTGAGCATCATGTAGCTTCAGACATTTTTTAATAAAAAGCTAAACCTGAAATTATTGGTTAGTGTTTAATAATTGTGATATAAATGTGTATTAACTGTATTAATCTGTTTATTATATCATTTATAAAAGAAACCGGATGGAGAATATAAGATGAATTCCGTTTGTTTAAAGGATCAGAGTGAATTATGCAGAGTAGGATTTGTCTGTTAACAAGTTGCTCCTGACTGAAATGTGGCTTTGCATTGTCAGCTTGCATTATATTGTTCTTGGGAGAACGCAAGAAAAGAAACATGAGATGAACAAAAGGAGAAACTGCAGATAAATGGTAACATCACTGATGTGTTGTGCTAAGCTAGGCTACACCTGGAAGGTGGAACTGGAGAGATTCCCCAGTGAGAGGAACACATCCACCTCCCTGTGTTCAATACAATCCTGCTGAACCAGCAGAGACTGAGTCGACCCCTTACTGACCTGAGAGTCTCCAGTCTGCAGTCTGGACTCTCCAGAAGATCTCTCAGCAGCTCCACTCCTGAATCCTTCAGATCGTTGAGACTCAGGTCCAGATGTCTCAGATGGATGTTGGACTTCAGAGCTGAGATCAGAGCAGAACAGCTGATCTCTGACAAACTGCAGCCACTCAGTCTGAATAAAGAAGACATGATGTAAGTTTAGAAAACAATGTTCCTGATTGAAATAATGAAAGGTTTAATAATCTGATTATAGCTGGAGAAGTAGAGAATGTAGACGTTTATAAAGTGGACACTCCCAACAGGTTAAAAACAGTAAGATCCAAAAAGTGAAAAGAGCTCTCATTAATATGAAAGACAACGTTCTTCACCTTCAATAAAAAGTGGTGACTTCACATCATAAACTCTGCTTCTTCTACACTAACTCGTGATGTGCAGCCAGACAAATCAAAACCCGCAGAAACTGATTCAACTCAAGATCACAGAGTTTACAAAGAAGCAGCACCAGAGTCTGAATAAAGAACACATCATGTAAGTTCAGAGAACAATGGTCCTGCTTGAGATAGTTCAAAGTCTCATCATCTTTTCAGACCTGGAGAGGGTTCAGATGCCAATGTCAAAAATGATGAAGATACTTTTAGAAATGTAATAGTAGATAACTATAAATGCATTGATAATGCATCAGAAGAACCTCCTTCATCTCCCTCACAGCTCATCAGTACTGACAGCATCTTCACTGACTCATGGAGCACAGTGAGAGTCTGTGGAAGCTCACACACTGTCCCCTCACACATTTACTTTCTCTGCTTTCTGTTATTCTTGTCAAATATTCAGCAATTTAGAAAGAAATGTGAACTTATTCAAATATCTTTGTACTCAGGCAAATGATGGAATTATAAATATATCAATTATAAATACAGTACAAAACCACATGAACTACAGCCAGTGATCTGACCTCAGAGTCTTCAGTCTACAGTTTGGACTCTTTAGTCCAGAACTCAGCTGCTCCACCTCTGAATCCTGCAGATATACTCCCAGCTTCAGCTCTCTCAGATCGGAGGGGTCGGACTTCAGAGCTGAGGCCACGACTTCCCAGTCTAAGAATCCACTGTCAGGAATTCTGTTAGAACACATATTACAGAATTTGTTTATATAAAAAAAAGAGGAAACAACATATTTACTTCATGCATTTGAGGAAAAACATTTTGAATCTCATGATCTGATTACCACTGGATGTTAGTCTATTTAATATTTGGTAGAGTGTGATCTGATCCCATGTCTGTCACCTCTCTGCTAGCTACCTTCTAGACTAGAGAAGACTAGAGTCAACATAAATCACATATTGCTCTGTGTCTAATTTAACGATAAAGAAACTGCAATCATTTCATAATAACTTTACTGCATTCAATGACATATGTAAAGTTATTCTGTATGTTCTGATCACATGTTGCTGTGATAAAACATCATTCATATTATTTTGACAAGGAAAATGACGAGAAGAAAAAACTGTAACATTTTAAAATTATTAGAATAATTGTATTAATTCAATTTAGCTCTCACAGTATGTGAAACAGCAACAAGTTGTATAGTGTTTATTTTAAAAACTAAAATCCTTATCTACACTAATCTATAAAGCTAATCACATCTGGACTCACACAGCCTTCCTGCAGTTCCTCACAGCTGGAATCAGTCTCCGTCGTCCCTCCTCTGATGTTTTGGACTTCTCCAGGTCCAACTCATCCAGAACCTCCTCTGACATCTGCAGCCTGTAGGCCAGAGCTCTGCAGCGTTTCACAGAGAGTCTCTTCTCTGATCTGTTCTCTGACTTCAGGAACTCTGTGATCTCCTGATGTACTGAGTGGTCCTTCATCTCTGTCAGACAGTGGAGGATGTTGATGCTCCTGTGAGGATAGACTTCATCACTTCTCATCTTCTTCAGGTTGCTGATGGATCTCTGGATGATTTCTGGTCTGTTGTCTGTGCGACCCAGCAGGCCTCCTAAGAGTCTCTGGTTGGACTCCAGAAAGAGGCCGTGGAGGAAGCGGACAAACAGGTCCAGGTGGCCATTTTTACTTCTGAGTGATTTCATCATGGCTCTCTTTAGGAAGACATCCAGGGATGGGTACTCCTGATCACTGTTAAACATGTTGTTATAGTCACTCTGCAGGGATGGGTGATCCTGATCACTGCTATCACTGTTGCCATCGTCCCAGTCTCTCTGCAGGAAGTCCTTCAGTACCTCTGTGTCTCTGTTGGTGTAACAGTGCAACATGTAGACTGCAGCCAGAAACTCCTGAATGCTCAGATGAACAAAGCAGTAGACTGTTTTCTTGAAGATAACTCTCTCTCGTTTGAAGATCTCTGTACAAACTCCTGAGTGCACCAAGGCCTCGGTGACACCAAGACCACAGCGCTGCAGGTCTTCTTGGTAGAACATGATGTGTCCTTTCTCCAGATGTTCAAACGCCAGCCTCCCCAGCTTCAGAAGAAGCTCCCTGTCAGCCTCCGTCAGCTGCTGTGGACTCGTCTCATGTCCCTCTTCATACTTCTGCTTCTTCCTCTTGGTCTGGACCAGCAGGAAGTGTGAGTACATGTCAGTGAGGGTCTTGGGCAGCTCTCCTCTCTGGTCTGTAGTCCACATGTGGTCCAGAACTGCAGCAGTGATCCAGCAGAAGACTGGGATCATGCACATGATGTGGAGGCTCCTGGAGCTCTTGATGTGAGAGATGATTCTGCTGGACTGATCTTCATCACTCGATCTCCTCCTGAAGTACTCCTCCTTCTGGGCGTCAGTGAAGCCTCGTACTTCTGTTACCCTGTCCACACACTCAGGAGGGATCTGATTGGCCGCTGCAGGTCTGGAAGTTATCCAGACGAGAGCCGAGGGAAGCAGCTTCCCCCTGATGAGGTTTGTCAGCAGCACGTTGACTGAGGACTGCTGAGAGACATCAGACACAACCTCATTGTTTCTGAAGTCCAGAGAAAGTCTGCTTTCATCCAGGCCGTCAAAGATGAGCAGCACTTTGCAGACAGCCAGCTGCTCTGCTGTGACCTTCTGTAAGGTTGGATGGAAAACATGGAGCAGCCTGAGAAGACTGTACTGCTCACCTTTGATCAGGTTCAGCTCCCTGAAGGAGAGCGGGATCACCAGACTGACATCTTGGTTTTCCAAACCCTCGGCCCAGTCCAGAGTGAACTTCTGCACTGAGAAGGTTTTTCCAACTCCAGCGACTCCGTTGGTCAGGACCGCTCTGATGAGAGTCTGTTGGTCAGGTGAGGCTTTAAAGATGTCCTGGCACTTGATTGGAGAGTAATGGAGGGCATTTTTCTTGGAAGCTGTCTCCAGCTGCCTCACCTCATGTTGGGTATTAACCTCTTCACTCTGGCCTTGTGTGATGTAGAGCTCAGTGAAGATCCTGTTGAGGAGGGTTTCACTTTCACCAGTTCCTTCAGTCACACGTTCACATCTCCTCCTCAGACTGAGCCTATGTTCATCTAAAACCTCCTGCAGACCACGTTCTGCTGAAAGAGAAGGAAACGTGAGAATAAAAAAAACGTTTTAAATGAACTTATATTATGTACAACACAACAGGAATAATCCTGTTTCCCACAGATCAGAATTATACTTGTGGTGGTAGCCGTGCACGACGGGCGGGGGGGAGTGGGGTGCTCTAATGGAGCACGCTCTTGAACTGTTAGTTTGCCGGAGCGTCGCAGCGGGGTTACTGCAGAGCGCATAATTGCGCCGCAGTTGCGCATGAGTGATGTGCAACAACATTTGACTTCTCTTTTTCTCATAAGGTCTCCCTTTCTGTTGGTCGCTTATTAGCGGACCCTTCACGCGATGGCAGAGCGAACAGGTACAGGAGGCGTAGAGCGAGGGATCATTGTCCACTAGTTCATCGATCGCAGATGGCGTAGTGCTCGCGGACGGATAAAAAAACAAAACCTAAATAGGTCGTGAAATATACTTGGGCGGACGTTATTATTACATTACATTTCATTTAGCTGACGCTTTTATCCAAAGCGACTTACAATAAGTGCATTCGACCAAGACGATACAAACTTGAAGAATCATATAAGTACATCAGGTTTCATGGAGCCAAACCATTTCAAGTGAAACTCAACTTTAGATAAGCCAGTGCTTTGTTAGTATATAAGTGCTTTGTTAGAATATAAGTGCTTTGTTAGTATATAAGTGCTTTGTTAGTATATAAGTGCTTTGTTAGTATATAAGTGCTTTGTTAGTATATAAGTGCTCTGTTAGTATATAAGTGCTCTGTTAGTATATAAGTGCTTAGTTAGTATATAAGTCCTTTGTTAGTATATAGTTTAGGCATCTCACCAGAAGTGCAAAATAGCAGTGCAGGAGTCTACATAATAAGAATAATTGTACATGGAATTATTATAAATAGAATAGTTATAAATAGGCTATAAACAGATTAATCTATACAGTGTAAACGGCATTGACAGTAAAATATATAAACAGGTGGGTGATGGGTATGGGCTAGAGTCTATCAGCGGGCAGAGTTCAACAGGGTAACAGCCCTGGGGAAGAAGCTATCCCTGAACCTGCTGGTCTTGGACTGGAGGCTCCTGAGGCGCCTCCCCGAGGGTATCTAAGTGCTTTGTTAGTATCTAAGTGCTTTGTTAGTATCGAAGTGCTTTGTTAGTATATAAGTGCTTTGTTAGTATATAAGTGCTTTGTTAGTATCTAAGTGCTTTGTTAGTATCGAAGTGCTTTGTTAGTATATAAGTGCTTTGTTAGTATCTAAGTGCTTTGTTAGTATCTAAGTGCTTTGTTAGTATCGAAGTGCTTTGTTAGTGAATAAGTGCTTTGTTAGTATATAAGTGCTTTGTTAGTATATAAGTGCTTTGTTAGTATATAAGTCCTTTGTTAGTATATAAGTGCTTTGTTAGTATGTAAGTGCTTTGTTAGTATCTAAGTGCTTTGTTAGTATCTAAGTGCTTTGTTAGTATATAAGTGCTTTGTTAGTATATAAGTGCTTTGTTAGTATATAAGTGCTTTTTATTTTGTTTGTTTTTTCGTTTTTAAATGTATCGCTCGAAGTGGAGTCGAAAGAGATGAGTTTTCAGTCTGCCCTGGAAGATGTGTAAGCTTTCTGCTGTCCTGATGTCAATGGGGAGCTCATTCCACCATTTTGGAGCCAGGATAGCAAACCCACGTGTTTTTGCTGATGGGAACTTGGGTCCCCCTCGCAGTGCGGGTGCAGCGAGCCGTTTGGCTGATGCAGAGCGGAGTGCACGTGCTGGGGTGTATGGTTTAACCATGTCCTGGATGTAGGAAGGGCCAGATCCATTCACAGCATGGTACGCTAGCACCAGTGTCTTGAAGTGGATTCTAGCAGCTACTGGAAGCCAGTGAAGGGAGCGGAGGAGCGGTGTGGTGTGGGAGCATTTAGGAAGGTTGAAGACCAGACGAGCCGCTGCATTCTGGATGAGCTGCAGAGGTCGGACGACACATGCAGGTAGACCAGCCAGGAGGGTAGTAATATACCTGGGCGGACGTTAATATACCTGGGCGGACGTTAATATACCTGGGCGGACGTTAATATACCTGGGCGGACGTTAATATAACTGGGCGGACGTTAATAGACTTGGGCGGACGTTAATATACCTGGGCGGACGTTAATATACCTGGGCGGACGTTAATATACCTGGGCGGACGTTAATATATCTGGGCGGCCAGCCCAAGTAAAGTCTATCTGTGGGAAACCCTGGACAGATGTTCAGACTTACTTTTTACTGTTCTGGTCTGACTGGCTGTCTGCAGGCCAGCTCTGGTTCTGGATCTTTCTCCACACTGGGGACAGGAGGGGTCTCCTGATGGAGGTCTCTGCTCCCAGTATGAGGTGATGCACTGTCTGCAGAACCAGTGTCCACAGCTGGTAGAGACTGGATCCTTCAGGACGTCCTGACACAGAGCACAGCTGGACAGCTGCTCCTCCACAGGAACACCACTCTTCCTCTTCCCTCTGTGGAGATCAACACATCCTTTATAGCACTTTACGCTGACTGATTTTCACCAATGGTACAACCCAAAGTTGGCAAATTCTTGTTTTTTTAAAGTTCTTTATCTGTAGATGATATTTCATTCTGGTAACTGTTCCCAAGTGGTAGATATTTAGTGATTCATATAATTATGAAACAAAACGCCCTTCTGTCTGTAACATCATCGCCTACAGCATGTTCACTGTACCTCACAAGTTTTACTACGGCTAAATTAAACTTGTTTATGTAATAACTACATAATGATTCCAATTTGTAAAAGCAGTGAACACTTTGTCAGGTCTGTCCACAACATGGAAAACAAATCACTTTCAAAATGCTAGTTCCTGAATGGACATTAGATTGAGTGGAGTTAGACTTAGCTAACATTGTGGCTGCTCCATTAAAAGTCAAACTAACAATCAATGGTTGATACACATCAATGTATAACTTCAATTCAATATGAAGTACTGTTGAGCTCTAGGTGCCGATATTTTCCTTATCTGATTCAAGTACGTCTGAGTTTCTATACTGAGCTCTACTGAGTTTCTATACTGAGCTCTACTGAGTTTCTATACTGAGCTCTACTGAGTTTCTATACTGAGCTCTACTGAGTTTCTATACTGAGCTCTACTGAGTTTCTATACTGAGCTCTACTGAGTTTCTATACTGAGCTCTACTGAGTTTCTATACTGAGCTCTACTGAGTTTCTATACTGAGCTCTACTGAGTTTCTATACTGAGCTCTACTGGGTTTCTATACTGAGCTCTACTGAGTTTCTATACTGAGCTCTACTGAGTTTCTATACTGAGTGTAGGTGCCATAATGCTACTTAGCCCAAGTTCATTATTTGTATTATTATTTGTTTACGTCACTTTTATTTGTTTGTTGAGCACTTCCGGTAATTGTCACATGGGCATACTTGCCAACCCTCCCGATTTTCGCGGGAGACTCCCGATTTCATTGCCCTCTCCCGGTTTCCTCCCGGGGTCATATTTCTCCCGCATTTCTCCCGATTTCTGACAAAATCAGATTTACTCAGGACCGTTTCCACTCAGACTTTAATACAGCTACACCATTGTTTGGTTTCCATGGTAGCGTAGCGCGCGCAACTGAAAGTCTGAGAGGGTGAGAAGATAGTCACAGCAAACAGAACAAGAATCGACAATTCTACCCTCTGCTCACTCCTTTCCTGTAAAATACAGGTCCAGCCCACACATGTGGTGCTACAGGCCGCAAGGCAGTGCACTTACAACTACAATAAGCATGTTAATGTTAATCTAATACAGCTCCGGCGAACCACTAGCACCAAGTTTTTCATCTCTGACCTTGTCAGGTATTGAACATTCAATAAATGAAGAACACAGAATTATTCAACATAAAACACAGAATTTGTGTGATTATACTAAATGATTTACAAATAAACACCACTGCATATTTACAACTGTTACACATGCTGCAGTAACGAACAAATGTCCAACTTGGGATCAATAAAGTATATCTTATCTTAAGATGATCGATGGCTACTGCCATATTTCAAAATGTGCCTCTGAACCTTGACAAGTGCATGTTTCAGGCTTATCAATTAACAACAGGAGGGGTCACAGACATAAGACTAGCTGTTAAATAAAGCTCTTCTGACCTTAGCTGTCATGTGGGTATATATTAATGCTGCCCATTATGGGCACAAGCAATTTTCACCCATTTATTAATTATATGTTTTAAATGTGAGTGTTTCCTATCCCCTAAACTTCCAGGGATGTACACAGTTGAATACTGGCAACTTCTTATTATGGGATATACGAAAACGTCTTTTAAAACTACAATTCCCAGTAGAGACGTGCCATAGAACATGTTGCGAAACACACAATAGAGAGCATGTGTAGTTCTGGGGACGGGGTGGGGGAGGGGGAGGGGGGGACGGGGTGCGTTCAAATCCAGTTTTGGACAGTCTGTCGTGGTTCCATCCCATTTCAAAGTGCTGTTCGACGCTCGGCCTAACCCTCGGCGCACACTCAAACATCCAATCACAGAGCTTGAGGACTAATCACGGGGTTTGTCAAGCGAAGCGGAGAGAATACTTACTTCCGGGTGTAAAATTCTCTAAAGCAACTACTACCCTCAGGTCTTCAGGGACTGGTCAACTTTCTGTCCCCAGAGTCAGAACTAAACATGGTAAAGCAGCATTCAGTTATTATGCTCCGAATATCTGGAACAAACTCCCAGAAACCTGCAGGTCCGCTGCAACTCTTACTACTTTTAAATCCAGGCTGAAGACTTTTCTTTTTGCCGCTGCTTTTAATTGAACTATTCACATCTTAAACTGCACTGTAACTTTTAACTTTATCCATGTATTTTTTCTTTTAATGTTTATTTTATTATCTTTCCTTTTTAATGACTGATTTTAAATGCCATTTTTAAAATGTCTTCCATTTTTGTAAAGCACTTTGAATTACCTTGTGTTGAAAGGTGCTATATAAATAAACTTGCCTTGCCTTGCCTTGCCTTGCCTTGCCTATGAGCTGCTCCGACCCTCGGTCCTGACGGACGTTTATTAATCAAACAAATAAATAAACACAAAGATAATTGTGTGTTATTGTTGAGTAAATAACAGTGTGTGGTTTAGAAAATAATACAAAATTAGAAGGAAAAAACGATGAAACAATACAGATTTCTTTATTCTGAGCCCCTACTCTCCCCCTAACTGACGGCAACAAAAGCCCGAAATTATTCAATTAAAATAAAGAAGTAAAAACAATAAGTGTGGCTTGATATTGAGTTAGAAAAAGGTTGATAAACGCTGTGAGAATGGATCTGCGGAGAGCATTTCGCCGCAATCCCAACTCGTCTATTACCAGCGTTCAGGGAGCTCTATGCAAGTCAATGGGACTCCCTGATGGTTGAAACTCGATGCTAAAGGGCTCCCCCTTGCGTTGGGAAGTGACGACAGGGACCCTGACATAACGTCAACATAGGCCGAGTTGGGAGTGAGAATGTGTTGATCTTGGAGTCATACTGGACTCGAATTTGACTTTTAAGAAACATATTAAGAAAGTATCCAATACCAATAAATTCAACTTGCAAAATGTTAAACAAATTAGACCTTTCTTAACTGTCAATGCTGCAAAGCCATACCTCCACTGTGTGATTCTATCCCACATTGAATACTGTTTCACAAACTGGTCGTTTGCTTGTGCCACAAACCTGAAACCCATAGAACAGCTGTGCAAGAGAGCTATCAAGGTGTTTGAGAGAAAGCCTTATTCAGACCACCACTGTACCATCCTTGAGAAACACCATTTCTTGAGTTTTGACAATTTTAAGTCTTTTAAAAGTATGTGTGTTTTTTATAAATGTTTACATGGACTACCCCCCCCCCCCTCCCTTAGGGGAATTCATCCACAGAAAACACACTGGACGCTGCACTAGGTCAGAAACCAGAGGAGACTGTGAAGTCCACCGCAGACGGACCACTTTTGGACAAAATGTCCTTTCAATTAAAGGCAGCTCTTTGTGGAACAGCCTCCCAACTGAGATACGGGATTGTCCCACTCTCAATAGCTTCAAAGGTCAACTCAAAGAATGGTTGAGAAACAAAACAGACGTGCAATCACCGCTAAATGCACTTTAGGTAGCTCTTGTATCTTCTCTTGCACTTTACATGTCGTAGCTGCTCTATCGTCCGGCCAGGTGGTAAATACTTGTGTATGCTGCTCTTGCTCTTTTGCACTTTTTGCATATCATGTATTTTGTTTTTTACCATGTTTGTCAAATGTAATCTTCTTAAATGTTTAATGTGAGGGACTGCGGATGGAAACGAGCTCAAAGCTAAATCTGGCACTGTTACGCTTGATACATTTGACTGTTTTAAGTGTTCATTACTGTGCATTGTCCCTGCCAAATAAACGATTCAATAAATATCACAGGCCCATGCCTCAACAGCTCTACGCCAAATCTGAGATCTCACTATAGGCCGTTTCCATGGAAACGCATCCCTCGCCAAAAAACACGATGTTGTTGTAACGCCTATGAAAAGGGTAAAAACAGCACCAGACTTCAGATAATGGTTAATGGTCCAGCCTTCAACATGTCTATGTGCCAATAGTGATTTTTCCTCAAAATCTGTTGCCATGGCAACGCATCCCTCGCCATAAAACACGATATTGCTATAACTCCTATGAAAATGTTCAAAAAGTGCTCAAACTTCACATGTGTGCTAACAGTCCAGCCGTGAAGACATCTACGGGACAGTTTTGAGATTTCTTCAAATGCCGTTGCCATGGCAACACAATGCTCACCATGAAACACGGTTTTCTCATAACTTCAGTGAAAATGCTCCAAACGGCCCAAGACTTCACAGGTTTGGTAACAAAGCAGCCATCAACACATCTAAGCGTATTATGGGGTGTGATCAAATACCGTAGCCATGGTGATAGATCACTCGCCATCAAGTTAGTTCAAACGTTTGCAGTTAAAATATTCTGATGCTTTTCAAAGCCTTTTTACTTTCTTTTCTCTTCTTAATACAAATTCATTCACTACTACTTACATATAATATATAACTCCTTCAGCCTATTTTCAGCTGCAGAAACCATTCAACTATTAACTTATTCAGCTATTTCAGGACATCAAGGCTATACATGTTGTTGTTTATACCTTTTTAAACCTTTCCTTTTAAATATTAAGCTTCTTCACTATTTTTCCTACTCTTCCAGTTTAACATTTGACTTTCAAGTCTTCAACAAAGTCCTTGCAATGCATTTGAGCTGTAACAATTTTGATTCAAATCATTTCACTTTTCTGCATTTCTCAGACTTGGTTTGTATAGCTAAAAGCAGCTACAGACACCATTCAACTAATAACATATTCAGGTTTTTCTGCATTTTCAGCTAAATTCAGCAACAAATGTTCACAGTTCGCACGCATTTTCTGCAGGAAATGCATTTTCTAGTTTGTTATTGGTTGTGATCCTATTCTAAAGATGTTTGGATTATTAAAATATATACAGTTCTGTTTCATGAGTGTTGAGAGATGTATCCATAAATCTCTTCATGTTGTGCTCAAAGTGCACCAGATTGATGCATTTAACTTCAACATTTAAAAGAAAATCTTCCCGGGGGAGCATGCACCCGGACCCCCCTAGAGGAGGTGAGGTCCACCCACAAATAAAGCAGGTTCACATGGATAGGATGCTAGAGAAGTTTGCCACGCATTATACACTACACATGTTCTTGGATTGCACCATAGTCCTAACAATATATTTGGTTAGAAAGGCAGGACAAGGGATTCAAATCGAGAACTATTTTCATTGCGGAGGACCCCCTGTTTTTGTGTCCCCCCCACTTCTCAAACCAAAGTAACTTCCCCCCCCCCTGCACGGACCGCCCTCATCGGACCGCCCTCATCGGACCGCCCTCATCGGACCGCCCTCATCCCGCCCTGGCAGCAACCCCCCCAAAGCAGTAAACCGAGGGGAAACACTGCAATTATAATTAATGTGTTGGATTTTTTTTACTTTTTTGCACTTAGTAGTTCTCTCCTCTCCTCTTGTCTCTGACTGTAAGTGTTTGCTCATGTGTGTGTGTGTGTGTGTGTGTGTGTGTGTGTGTGTGTGTGTGGTGTGTGTGTGTGTGTGTGTGTGTGTGTGTGTGTGGTGTGTGTTTGTGTGTGTGTGTGTGTGTTGTGTGTGTGTGCTGTGTGTGTGTGGTGTGTGTGGTGTGTGTGGTGTGTGTGTGTGTGTGGAGCCCTGCCCTTCGGAAACAGAGCAGAGGAGATAATGTGAACGCACAAAGCAACGCAGTGGACACTGAAACGTGCACATAAATTAAATAAATAACATAAGCCTTTTGTTTAATTAATAAACCCAACGCCCTGTTGTTGGTAGGGGAAACACTAAGTTTCTATTTTATTTGCTGAACACAAAGTCCAACATGTAGAGTGTGAGGATAATTTCACTAGTAGATTATATACTATCGCTGATGATGCCAGGAGCAAGAGTTCAATTACACTTTGTTTCTGTACTCTGAGTTTCTTTACTGAGATCATTCAAAAGAGATCAGATTATCAGTTAACATAAAAACTGAATCCTCTTCAGGTCAGTTTACAGCAGAAACTCTTACCTTGTGTCTGAGGGTCCAGGTTCATTACTGAAGACTGGAGGATCCCCCATAGACCGGACGATCTTCAGACAGCTGGAGACTGGAGACTCGTCCTCTTCCTCAAAATCACTCATCTTCTTCAGTCTGAGAGATAAACCATTAACACTGCACACACACACACACACACACACACACACACACACACACACACACACACACACACACACACACACACACACACACACACACACACACACAGTTAAAGAACATCAAATCAGTCAGACTTCAGACAGGCCGCTCTCGATCTTGACTGTGCTGAGCTGTCACATGTTATGTTGCTCTGATGATTCAGAAACCAGGAATTAAAAAAGGTTTGCAACACTTGTAGAAGTCTCATTGGACTCTAGGACGCTGATGTTCTGACGTCCAGTTTAACAGAGTAAATAATGAATGTGTTAGAAAGCAGATCCTGCTGTTAACACTCACCCTGTTGTTCTCCTCGTGCTCCGTTCAGCTGTGAAATGGCGTCTGGCAGTCTGACCTCATATTTTCACCTTAACATGCCTTCACCTGTCTGCAGCTCCTCCCTTTGTTTCATAACCAGCTGAACAGGTACTGGGATTATTTTTCAGTTAGATATAAATAGACATGCAGCTAAAAAAAACAGTTCAACAAGTTATGGAAACTAAAATAATGATTCAACAGTGTGAATATAACCCAGTAAACATCCTGCATCTAAACCTTACTCAAGTTAAAGTGTGTAGGCATTAAATACTCTAGGGTTAACTGTGCATTGGATTTTTCCCCATTTTATCTATTTAATTAAAAATATATATATAAATTAGGGATGCTCCGATCACCGATCAGATGATATAAAATACATGAGACTTTTCTCTTGGCAAAAGAAGCCAACATGGCTTCACCAGTCTGGCAGTTTTTCAAGGTGTCCGAAAAAGACAATAAAATTGCGATATGCAACGTGAAGCAGAAATCTGAAAAATCACAAGACAAGGATACAATGGATAAGATCTCAAGACAGTGTATGGCTCAAGAAGACCTAGGTAATATCACTCAAAACCTCAGAGCAGCACCCCACTTCAAATGCCAAAATATGACTGGCTGGCTCTTCAAGTACAGGAGGAGTTCTATTTGTCACCAACATCGAGAGTTACAAGTAAAACATGAATTGAAAAGTATGTGGTTGCTCAACTAAGTGATCAGTATATGTGATAGAATATATTAT